CACAATTTATTATCAAACTAGAGCCACATTAAATGGTTGCAACAATTGTCAAACACTTGCCTTGACTAACCACCTCATTCAATTCCTCCATCGCATGCAGCACCTGCCCCTCAACCCATCTAAAGGCCACTCACATTTGCACACAGAGACTTTGTCAGACAAATCGAATGCAATTTCACGGCTATTTGAATGGGCATGCAGAAAAAAAGACCCAACAACAACTACGCTTTGCGAATAATGCAATAAATGAGCGCAATTTTCAATTTGCCAAACAGATGAGCCACAAAATGAAAAGCGAGGAAAATCAGATGATTTTTTTTTTGCTTCCCGACCAGCAGAGACTGAATGAAGCCGGCTATGCTTTAATGTGCGAGCGAGTGGGTGCTGCAGGCGGAACTGTTAAGCCAAGTGCATACAGAGCCAGGAAAAGTGCAGCATGCAACATGTAGCATGCTCCACACCCTCTCCTGCCTACCAATTGAGGCAACTGCAACAATTAGCAAACGTAGCTCTAACCCTTCTTCTTTGACATTTACACGGGCGTACGTGACATTTGGGTAATTGGGCTAGCCAATTGTTTTCAAGTGGCTTTTCAGAAACGGGCGCGAGAGAGGGGCATGGCATGGCATAGCGCGTCCCCTCAGGCGAAGCTTGACAAATGTGCATTTAATTAGCCAGAAAGAGATCTTTAGCCAGAGAGCGCGCGCGGTTTCAATTTTCCTTACGTTGATTTGTTATACTCCAAAACGACATTCAAAGGCTTCAAGCAAGACATACTGAGATATAGAGAGAGAGGAGAGGCACATGTCCTTCATATACACATATATATCATTATTTTGCGGCATCTTCATCATCATGATGTAAACGAGCGTCACTTGAATCCTTAGAAAAATCAAAAACAATTAAAGTTTGCTCAACAAAAACAAAACTCATCAGCACACGCACAGTGTGAGAGTAAGAGAGATAGATAGAGAGAGAGAGAGAGGGAGAGAGAGTGAGAGACACACACACACACACACACACTCACCTAAACAGACATTCCAACATGTGTGTAAACATATGCCCGCTCCCGCCCAGCCCTGCCCAGGCACGCCCCCATACGTACCGCATGCAAAGATAACGTTGCCTACTTTTGCGCGCTCGCCAACGCAAACAACTTTTGCGTGACGTCTGACGTTGCACAGTGAGGCGAATCATCGAAGTGGACTGCAAATAATAATTATTTAAAACTATTATTCAAATTTGTTTGGTTGTTTGTTAAAGTATGTAAAAAGCTTTCTTTTCTTTTTTAAATGTGAGAAAATGGGGCAATGGTATCAAAAATCTAAAATCTAAAAATCGATTATTATCGATAATAAGGAAATGAGATGAACTATGATTCTTTAGCTTTTATACGAATGAGCAGAGGGACATGGCTGAATCAACTTAACTTGTCATCCTGATAGGGTTTGCCACGCCTTCTTCTTGCATCCACTTACACAAATATCTTTCCAAAATATCTTGAAAAAAAAAAAAAATCTGCTTACTTTGGTTTTGCAACGCAAAATGAGCAGACGTCCCACTGTGCGTCGAACCAACCCCTCCGCCACGCTCAGCACTCTACACCAATCGACCCCCCTTCCCCCTTCCCCCTTCGCTTATCCCTCAGACTTATTCATGCTCACCCACACGCTTTAGTCGTCACCCAGCTAACGATAACTAAATTTGTACATTTGGTGTAAATGTAAATAGATTGTTGCCTGGATTTGTGTGTGCGGGCTTCAATATACGTGTGTGTGTGTGTGGATGTGCTGGGTGATTAACGGGTGGCTCGTGGCCCTAGGTCTGTGCCAGCTTCTTCTGTATTCTGGCTGCGGCGTCGGTTTTGCGGGCTGGTCAAAGCGGCGCCACTCAGCCGCCAGGCAAACCCAAGCTCACGCCGAACCACGCCTCCACCTCGCTAGCTTGGCTAAAATTCAAATATGCAATGTGTGGGTGTGAGTGTATGTTATACCCAGTAGGGCAGAGCTAGGGTGAATATATATTCATATTTAATTTTTGATATTTCAAATAATGTTGATAAAGATTTCAGTGTTTTAAAAGGCTAAAAAATCTATCTTTAATCTCATGATATAAAAGTTAATGCAAAAAAATAAAAATAAAAAAAATAAAAATAAAAAACATTGGAACGTGTTTCGATATACGAATAAAAAATATTAAAAAAAAACTGAAATAAAAGTTGTAATTCTAAACTAAATAAGTAGCATTATAATATTTAGAAATAAGAACATTATAACAGTGCTTGGAAAGTATTTAGTATAGCTTGTAGCCATTTGCATTTTAATTTAATGAGAAGTTTAAGATATTAATAATAGTAGAGCTAATTAGTCTTTTATAATAATTATTAATGCTTGACTATTTATATACAACATTGCAAAACTTTATTATTCAAAATAATTTTGTTTGTAAACTTGATAAATATTTTCCCCTTAAATATATACAAAGTATGCATTCAAACGTCTAATAACAGGGTATGGCTACGCAAGTCAAGCTCTTTGGCTTCATGGACAATGCATGCCTTGAGTTGGCCTTGAAGTATAACAACAAATATCGTAGAAATCACAATAGATTAGCTAACAGAGCTTTGATTGAGAAGTCATAAAAGTTTCTTTTGATCTATGGCATAATGTTTCACTGAATATCCTGTTGCGTAAAAAAGTTGGTAAAATGTGAATAAGTTAGATTTATAATAAGAGAAATTCTTATGTAAAGTTAAATTTATTAATCTAATTTATGCAAGCAATCGTTATACTTTGTTGTTTAGAATGCTGTTTATAAAAAAATTATATTGAGGTAAGCAGAATGATCTTGACTGAAGCCGGAGAAACGGACATTACACAGAAGTACTTTCGGGAAGAACCAAAATCTAAAAAATATTTAAATATTAAAATAATTTAGATAAAATTAAAAAAAAAAAAAATGTAAAAAATAGATTTCAAACCTAAAACTAAATAAAAAGTTAATAATTAATAATATGATTCATATTTTGTACAAATTGGATTTAATTTTTTTGTTTTTGATATAGAGTTTGATCAGCAAAAATATCATGTATTAATATAATAGTTAAGTAAGTGAACGCAACTAATTCGGATTCATTTATTATAAGTATATCTGTAACTCTGCTTGACATACTATAAAATAAGTTGTAATCAAGTTTTTTTTCTGAAGGTCTGTGGCAGGCGCTGATTTCACAAACAGGCCGAGTGCCTGGCCAGAGCAGCACGCCCTCAGCCCATGGCCATGCCCAGGCCTTATTAGCATAACACCTGCAATCAGAGCGAGAGGCGGGGCATAAAAAGTTGACTTTGTTTTCGCGTGGCATTGGATAATGCGCCATCAATAACAATTATAGGCGAGCCATCAAAGCCAGCCACTGGACGTCAGAGTGTCCGGGGCAGGATATTCCAATTAATGTTGCTTCATTGAACGCTAAAACTAAACTTGGATTACGGCCACGGCTACGGCTAGAGGGAGGCGGCGGAGGCGCGGTTGTCGCGTAATTTAAATGCTAATTTTCTGAGCACCTTTTCAAGGTGCGCCGCAATGAATTTTTACTCAAACATTTTCATAAACACAAATCAAGCGGAAGGTGTTAACAAAAACAAAAAAACAAAAAAACAAAAATCAACCAAACAAAATATAAACTTTGATTACATTTACATTGTAAAGCAGTAGCCTGGACATGCCACGTACAGCATCTGCTGCCCCCAGATGCATATAAATAACGCATGACGCATATAAAATGCATGACGTATACGCAATATTTACTTGTGGCACATATTTTTCGTTAAAGAACTTTTTAATGACACCAATTAGCAAGTGATTCGCTGCAAGCTAAAGGATGAAGAGTTCCTCATAAGCCCTTACGATTTTTTTTTTAAGCTCTTTCACTACACCTCCACAGCCCATCTTTCGCTTTTTTAAGTGTGTTATATGAATTTCAGTCGTCAGCCGCTGTGTAAATAATAATTATTTCTGTGCGCTTTTCAGCTGAGTTGTTGGCACATGCATCAAGTTTCTCAGTAAATATTTGAAGAACATATTTATATGTATATTCCTCTCCTAGTAGAGAGAGAGAGTTTCACTTTAAACATGACTGTAAATATGTTAACTTTAAGTTGTAAAGCACAGATTTATATCAGCTGCTATGACAAATTTGAAGAGATTTATTTCATAAATTTATTTTAGGGAATGCTAAAATTAACCAGAGAATCAGCTAAGTCATAAAAATTAGGAATACTTTATTCATATTGCATAGTTTATATTAACTATATAGAATTGTATCAATTTTTAATACAAAGAGTACATTTTGTAAAATTATCTTATAGAATGTTTATTGCATTAAATTTTTCATAATTGTACATGAAGACGAAAAATATAAAACTTTCAACTTACTAAATATTTGATCCCAAGCTACAATACAGTTATAAAATAAATGTTGTTGTATCACGTTGTTTGTAAGATTTTGTAGAAATAATTTTGATTAAAAATTAAAAATTTATTAACAATGAAAATAATCTATCTAGTCAAATGTTAATTTGTTGCCGCAAAGTTGAATCCAATTAATTTATTTATAATTTAATAATTGGTGTATGCATAACTCTATAATATGCATAATACCCAAATATTAGCTCGATCTTTATTGCTGATTCAACAGAGAATCATGTTTGATTGGAATCGACCTTTTGGAGTACTCTACTGAATAAATGAATTGAATGATATAGAATATATGTATATAATATGTATATGTATATAAATATAATACATCGAAAATTACGATAAATCGAAAAAAGTTGATTCCCTTGCTAAAAATTCGTTTTCAATAATTCTTGATAATTTGTATTTCTTTGGAAATCGAAAGAAACTGAAAACTTTCATTTCGAATTATCCGGACTCGACTGCAATACTATTTATATTAATATTTACTACTCTTCAAATATATTAAAAATAAAAGTCGCATGTACTTGAAACGTTAAAATTTATAATTAAAACAATAAATACAGAAATACACATGTGTGGGATAAATTTGTTGTCTGAGCCCATATCGGTTAAAATGAATAGTTAAATCACTGAGATTAATTTTTCGTCTGAACTCATGTCGGTTAAAATTAACAGTAAAATTGAGTTCTCACACCTTAAAATTTAATATCTGTCCACGTATAGCTGACGTTCATATAGTGCTTAAAATTCTTGTACGCAACTTTTATGCGCTGTATGAACTCATCGATAGGGCGCAGTGAGCCGAAGAGTTTAAAAGGGTCTTCTTTTCCGTGTCGACAATTTATCGCTTGAACAAATTGCAGCTTGCCTTGTTGTGGCGTCCCTTCATTATTTCTCCCGCATCGATGCCCAGATTCATGTAGGACTTGTATTCGAGGGGCCTAATTGGCGGCAGGCGCTTGGGCACCCAGATCATTGGCTGCCTCAGCTGCTCGATGCTCGTATCCAGCCTGATGCCACACTTGCCCTGATGGAATACGAACTTGATGGGCTTGTGCAGCTTGTCGTACGGATCGCGATAATAGTCGCGATAATCTTGACATTCCAAATAGAATGAATCAATTCTATCCACATCCCCATAGTCCACAATGGGCAAACCAATCTTCGGCACGAAGCCCAATACGACGCGACGATGCTTACGGGCGCTCTTCGACACCGACCACATGTCCGTCTCGGGAATCTTCTCTAGATCCATTGTTTAGCAATCGATTTTACTGTTGTGCAAGGTTCGAGTTGGACGTGTACAAAAAAATAGCAAGTGCAATATTAATTTGATTTGAATTTGTCGGTTTCGTTCAGAGAATGATATTGAAGTATATGTTGACAGCAAAAGTAACAGCTCTTACGATGGAAATATATATTTAAATATTATATAAGTAAGCGCTTAGGTTCTTGTCTAAGTAGATCGATCCCTATTAAATAGTTTGTATTTTTATGATGATCAACCCAAGGCAGATATAATTAAATAAGTCAGCTGAAGGCTACATATTATCGATCGCTAAAAATTTTTTTATTAGTTATCGAAAAAGGGCAATGCTATTGGTATAGCGATTTGATTCCATCTAAAAGAGAAGATCTCTTTTTCCTATCTGGCCTTCTAGCTATCAAGTATTATAAATTAATTTACCAACCCCTTTTGATAAAAGTTTGCAAAATTTGTTGTAAAATTCACACGATTCTTAACTCACCGATTTCCATAAAAAAAACTTTCGATTTGCTATTTCAATTTGTATATAAGGGAATCAGACATACATAATAGCATACTAATCTATTGTGCTCTGAAGGTAGGAAAAGCTATACAGAAGATAGTTTATACATAATTTGGATAGTAAATATAATAGAAAATGTTCTAATTCCATAATATCAAAATAATCTATAATATCAATTTTATTAAAATTACATTTATCCCAACAGACATACAAATTTATAAATTATTTCTTCAAAAACAGTATGAATTGACCTCAATATTCAGTTATGGATTCCTACACAGTTTGCTTAAGTTGTCCACTCCGGCAGCCTTCGATTATGTTAGAGTAATAGGAATAACTTCAGGGTCGATGGGCATAATAAATGTAAATATGCCGTTAGAGTGACCCGAAGACCAGCGTACGACCAGGACATAGAAGGGGCTTTCGCCAGTGATCGAAAAGGCTGAGCGGGATGAGAGTCCTACGGATGTCGCAGGATGTCGAGCAGCTGTTGACGACATTTCAAAAAGTCGTCGCTTTTGCTATTGACATTTGACAGGGGCGCGTGGGTTGGCCTCCGGCGTAAGCATTGGTCTGGCTGTAAGTGGAGCGTCGCTTATTTTTTTTTATTATGTGTATACATATATTTATTCCTTTCTTTTTTTGTTTTTCATTCTTCTATTATTGCCTTATAATATTTTGCCATGTTTTTAGCATTTGAAATAACCGCGGGTGTGATTTTTACCCTGCTAAACGCCGCTCAATTCCCTTCGGCCTGGGGGTCGAGCTCCTGTAGTCCTGTCTCATGATTAAATTTGTGTGCATTAAACGCTTTTAAGCTGCCTGCTTAAATATGCTGCTCGGGTAGAGCAGCGCAGAACAGCCTCTTGATTGCATTAAAGCTGGAGCGACTTGCCTCCCCTCCTCCACCTCTTTTGACGCCACGCCCCGTTCGGGTCGTTTTGATTGACACGCTCTTGCGGTTACCAGGATGCGGTTACTAACGCCCCGGTCACTGAGTTTGCATTAGAAGCCTAGATCTGCTCTTGAAAGACAACCATTAAATAATGCGAAGCTATTTGGCATTGAAGAGATTTTCTATATAGGAACAAGTATTTGGTAATTCATTTTGTTTTGTAAATCATTTGCCGAAGCAACGTCATTTTCTGTAAAGCTCGCTGTTAATCTTCGGCTTTGCAATGAAGGATACACAATGTGAAAGGCAGTGAATACCTTTTATCTTAGGTAGAGTTTAAGTAGCTTTGAAAATCTATTTGTTAATAACGGAATCTAGCTGTAGACAATCTGAACACAATTCAAAATATCAAATCTTTGTTAAAATCCCCCGAATCTAATTCTAGTGAGAAAGAGAGGCAGAGAGCATGTAGAGTAATGAGAAAAATAGAACAAACGAATGACGAAATAGCAAGAAAGAGCCATCGAAAGATGTATTTAAAGAAGATGGATACAGCGTGATAGAGAGATCAATGTAGAGGGAAAGAGAAGGAGAAAGGGAGAGCTCGTAGGAGAGTGAGATAAAGAGGGAGACATAAGTTGAGAAAAAGAGGTATATGGAATAAAGAGCGAAATATAGAGGGAGAGAGAGTAAGAGAAGTGTTGGAGAGAAAAAGATAAAGAGAGAGAAGATTAACGAGAGGAGAGAGAAATAAAAACAGAAATAGAAACAGTGAGCGATAGAGGCAGAGAGAGAGAAAGAAGGAGAGCCAAAAATAAAAGGCGGGGCCTTGACTCAGTTGGGAAAAAATGGAGAGGGATAGGAAAAAAAATCCTTCAAAGAAAAGAACAAAATTCCACAAGGGAGAGAGAGAGAGATTGAGAGACAGATAGATTTCTAATAAAAAAGAAATCAGGCTCACATACCGAAGCTCAATAGAACTTATAACAGATACGTGATGAGTAAAGATCTGGGAACATAATAAATAAAACTAAATTAAAAACACACAAATATAAATTTAAATATTAGCTTAAATAATAAGAACAATTAAGAAAGCTTTAGTCGAGACTGCCCGACTACGAGATCCCCTGAACCCTTCGAGCAATAGCTATTTCAATCATTTTTCAAGACTTTCTGCACACACACACACGCATACACACACACATACGCATACACACACACATACACACACACAAGCACCCACGCTTAATCACGCATGGGCTTTATATAGCTTTTTTTGTAGATGTACTTTCTTCATGAAACTTTCAGAGTATGATTATAACATGGATATCCGCATGGTATACACAGACATTAAAAAAAAAAATATTGAGGTCTCTAGCATACTGACAGACGGACCGACAGACAGACGGACAGGGCTAAATCAGCTCAGCTCGTCGTCCTGATCAGGAATATATATACTTTGTGAGGTCTGCCACGCCTTCTTCTGCCTGTTACATACATTTCAACAAAACCATTATACCCTGATTTCCCATTGAAAATGGGTATAAATATCCTGTTTCATTTCTACACAGGAATTTATATGGAGTGAATTTTTCTTTTATTGATTTTCGTTCTCTCAATTGCGCCTAGTTTTTTGAGTGATATATTTATATATATCTCACAAATCCGCACATAGACCTTACAATCCATTGGCTTACAATCAGGACAAGCCAAGCAAAGAAACGTCTAGCCTTTCGCAACCGGGAATGACCCGAAAGGCATTTCATGCACTGCGAGTTATTATTGTATTTGTTTGCTCAACTTTTGTTTGAGATGTCGAGTACAATGATCGGTTTAATATGTTAAGGGCTGGACTCAGTTGATGACGAGCAACATGCAACCACAACAAGTAGTAGTAGTAGTAGTAGAAGAAGAAGAAGAAGAAGAAGAGGGGATGCTGTTGCTGGCTGGGCGTAATCAAATGGCAAACCAGATGAAAAGCAACGCCCACACCAAAAGTATCTGAATATCTGAGCAACTGCAGCTTGGCCTGCGTCTTTTTCCTGTTTATTATTTCCACATCGCAGCTGCAAGGGGCGCACTGAAGGCGGCGGATTGAGGGGAGGACGGACTAGTCAGCGCCAACGCGTTTCTGCCGTTCTGTGATTTACATAATGTCCTTGTCGACATCGGCAGCAGGCAGCAGGCAACAGGCAACAGGCAGCTGCACCCCTCGACAGCCGCCACACCCGAAACCTTCGCTCTGACTAGTTTAAAAATATTAACTGTCAATTTGTATTTGGCAACACTTGGCTGAAGAGGCATTTGCCGCATAGCAGCGACCACCACCCGTACCCCCACCGCCACCCACAGTCGCGACGAGTGGAGCAGCAAAAGACGAAGTAAAACCAGAAAGCGCACTTGAAACTAGTGAAGTTCATTTGCTGGATAAAGTACTGTACTTAGCGAAAGCTTAATAACTGGGCAGGAATATATGGGCAGTGTGCTAGTGCGTGTGTGTGTGTGTATTCGGTGATAGATGGTATATATTAAACTTAATTTTATCTGGTAAACATAGCCCAATAGCAAAGCATTAGTATATAAATAGATCTCCAAAAATATAAAATAAACATCTGAGCTCGTTTTTAAAGTAATGGAGAGCATTGAAATTTCATTAGTCATCTGTTTTTTATTATTATTTAGCAAAATTGAATTTAAATTGAAGCTCTAAAACCAGTGAAAATCTAAACAGAAAATGTAATTTAAAATGTTGGCATAGAGAGTTTTTTGACAAAAAGAGAGTTTTTCCCAAAAATCCTTTTTTTGTCTGTAATGTAATACCTTTGATCAGCCAAATTTACAAGTTACAATTATATCTATAAGCTAACAAGGTTTTATACGAATAAATGTAAGTCTTTTTATAAAATAGTACATTTTAAATTTTAAGCTTCACGTAATAGTTCAACTCTCTTATTTAATAAACTCATAATTTCATTAATCAAAATCACAAGTCAAAATTGTTGCTAAAATTGCATAAAATATATTCTTAGCACATACATGACATACAAAATATATTTCTACAAGTCCAATAAAAAACTATACAGTCCACACACAAAGGCACGCCTTTAAAAGTCCTTCCGACATGTTCATCAATTGCATAAAAGACAAAATATAAATAGCTGTAGGAAAAAAACAGAAAAGTAAAATAAAGGCCAACTTTCAACTAACCGAAACTCTTTGGCAACATTTTATTATTATCTCGACAATAGTTTATCAGCGGTAAAACCCTTTCGATAAGGACATAAGCACAGTGATAAGCAACAACAACAACAACAAAAGCGTAGACAAACAGACGATAATAATACATAATAACAGTGTAGACTCTGCCACAGTCACTCAGTCAGCACATGGAGTCGGTCCAGAGCGTCAGTGAGTGTGTGAGTGTGTGAGTGTGAGTGAGACAGTGAGAGGGAGAGAGCGAGCGAGTAGCGTACGTCAATGATGCTAATCAGAACGTCAATGGCCCACTTCGACCGACCGTCCACCCTCCGCCCACTGGAGTTGGGGGTCGCAGCACGTGGTGTGCATGACTCCAACTCCAAAAGGAACAACAACAACATAAGCCACCCCCTGGTGTGTGTGTGCATGTGTGTGATGCGTATGAGTAACGTGATAAGGGAGAACAATGCAGTAACAAGAACAACAAGAACAACAGGGGGCGCTACAGGCCACTCACAGCACTCACCCATGAGCCCAATTGCACTCACATTCCATTTCACTCAAGCTCCTGCATGCCAGCACTTTGGCTTTGCCCTCAGCTTACCATCACTCAATTGCACAGACGCTAGCTCACTCACGCATTGCGCTCAAAACTTTTGTTGAGCGAAATTAAAAGGTCTCGATTCGCCAGCCATCGTGCGTCGTATGGCTGTCTCCCTTCGCGGCACACAAGCACACACACACACGACACACAGACGCACACGAACTGGCGCCGCAACAAGTTCGCCTCGACCTCGTGCCGGGCAGGCTCGTGATTCGTCTTCTGGCTTTGGCTTTGGCTTGCGCTCGGCTCGGCTCGGCTCGTCGCTTCCATTCCACAAGTGGCAGTCGACGTCAACGCGTTTCCGGTGCTCAGTTTATCAACGGATTCAACGCAATTTGGTCGTCGCGAGTGACTTTGTTTCGAATTAAAAGAAAAAATAGCACAATTTTTCAAATATACACCTAATATATATATTAAGAGATATCAGAAATTCTATATAATTTGCAGGCGCAAGCAAGCAATTTGAGAAAAATATGCATATAAAATGCAAAATTATTCAGTGAAATGTGTTTGTGAATATGGCCAAGATGATTGGGAAAATGTTTGATACGCATATTTCCTAAAGTTGATGAAAATTGTGATTATTCCACTCAGTTGTGCACGAATTGTATATAATTATCGATTCATATAGTCAATAACAATATTGAAATTCAGTTGAATGTAAGTAGAATGAGAAACAAAAATTGATTAATTTCCACATTATGTAAACATTTTTATAATTATTTAATTTGTTGAATTTATTAAATTTAAGAAGGAAAAATTATTAAGAACTATAATTAGAATAATTATATTATATTTTATATTATTTATTATATTTATATTTATTTTTACGTTTTGTGTTTTAGTGGTCAAAATTTCATCAGAAGGAAAAATTCATTTAACAGAGATTTAGGGGAAATTAAGCAAAAATTTAGGATTTTTCAATTTTTTTTAATTTTATCTGAACTACTCTGAATGAAAAGTATGTAAATTATGTAAATGAAAATTATGGAATCTATTAAAATAAATATATAAATTCAACTTGATTCAATTTTAGTTTAATCGGCATTATGCAATATATTTCAATTTGAAATTTAATTCAGTTTACTAAACAAAATTAAGAAATAATATTTATAAAATACCTTTTTTAAAAAAACAAAACAACTAAATATATAATAGAGATCATACTAATAAAAACACAACTTTCATTAAACAAATATATATATTTTGTTTTACTGGAGCTCGAGGGATTCTGGGCACAATCTTCATCCGAAATATATTATTTATGTCAAGTTGTACGTTGCAAACTCTAAAACTGTGGAAAATATCTCAATCTCTTATATCTCAATAATTTTCAACTGTCCTTCCGAGTATCTATTACAAATTTCAAGTATCTAGCTTCAATAGGGTCAAAATGGTTTACTTTAATGGAGACAGATGGTCGGACAGCGAGATGGACATTACTCAAAACCAATATGCTCATATCACTTAGAATGGATATAACAAGGAAAACCAGAAAAAGTCAGAAATAATCAAATCAAGAGTATAATTTGAAAGTGTAATATTATCCAATATCCAAATAACACCCGTTTAAATTCAAACAAATTTGTAATTTCCACCATTTGCTTGACCTACTCCTTGACAAATGCGTAAGAGGAAAAGTTTCATTTTTTCGCTTTGCTTGTCAAATGCAGCTCGACATTGTTTTATAAAGCTAGCAACGACCTTTTATTCCACAAAAACCAACAACAACAACAAAAACTACAACAACAACGGCAAGAACAGCAACAGTAAGAATATTGTCGCAGAAATGTATGCTTCACTTATTTAATAGAGAGCATAATAAATATTACACAAGCGCAGGTGCTGGCTGGCTGCTCCTTAAAGACGTTTGTCAGACAAAGCTGCATAAAATCTACCGCAGTTTCAGTGTCAACAGCAGCGGCAAATGGTAACTGGAAACTGGTAGCTGTAACGGGTAACTGCAACATGTTGCATGGCGTCAACAAATCGGCTACTCATTGTCGAATAATGCAACTGTGTACAACATTGGATCAACTCAGAGCAGAGGTTCATATAAAATGAATTTTTGTTGATGGTATTATATGTTGTTCTTCTAAGTGGGATGATATGAATTTAATAGCGAATATGTGACAAACAAGCGGATTTAAAGATTCTAAAGATTTGTGGATAAATTGTTATAGAGATAGATGTACATGAAAATACGTGTCTTATGCTAAACACTTAGGTGCAAAAGAACTAAGAATTTGAGCTATGCTAGCTATATAGTCAGATTCGAATATATAGTGACCCAGCACAAGAGTTAATGTAATAGTCTTCTACAATAACACAATATCCCAAAAATAATTTGGAGGCACGGCAAATCGGAAATTGGATCTAACAGCATTTGAAAAGTTCCTACTATCAAATAATCAACGGATTATTACGGGTAAATAAATACAAAAAAATTAGTAGTAGTAACTAGTAACTGTATACTAGAGTGCCCATATTCTGCACTTCAAAATAATTATAACAAAAAATAAATAAATAAAAATATATAAAAATTATATATATATATATAAAACAAACAAATCCTTTACTAAAGTTGACAGACTCTAGTTCTTCAATTAAAAATGTATACTTTTTCCTTAAGTACAAATCAATATTATATAACAATTTAAATTATTTAAAATACATTTGTAATTAATTTTTATATATTTTTATATTAGGTTTCTTTTCACTATAATACACAATTCTGATATTGCTCTTGAAATGTAGGTAATATTTTGTTTGGGAATAATGAAATCTATTAAAAAAATCTTTGTAAAATAAAAAAAAAAATAAAAAAAAAAAAACAATAAATATATTAAAAAAAAAATAAAAATAAATAAAACATTAATAATAAAAGTATATATCTATTAGAAGTCATTTTGTTGATATATATGTATATTATGGCAATACTCTGTCAATTCAAAAAAAAAAAAAAAAAAAGAAATTCGTTTATATAATTATATAATAATTCATCTAACATGTAAAATTCATTTAAAATATAATTTTTGACATCAACTAAAGATTAACTTAAGAATGTTAATAAATTTATTTAGAGTACAATAAGGCATACAAACATATTATACATGTACAATAAATATACGAAATCATTTAAATCCTTTATCAACAGTTGCTTAATTCTTAATTTCCTTTAATACAAATCTCTAGTAAATAAATAAATCTTAAAGGATATATCCTATTCGGCTAGTAGCTAGTGTCCCATTTTTTCCGTTTTTTATAACTAAAAGCCATTATATAACATCAGCGCACAATCGCTGGGAATGTAATCCTATAACCTTATACCCATTACAAACGCTGTGAGCAGCTCGTTGCTGTTGATGTTAATGCTGTTCTTGTTGTTGTTGTTGTTGCTGTTGTTTTTGATGCTGCTGTTGTGTTGTGTTTTAATTTCTTGCAGCATTTCTATTAAAGAGTCCAAAGGCCCAAGGAGCTTGCCACAACATGCAGTTCAATAATAGCGACACAGTCGCAGCTGCCAGTCGGACAGGCGACAAAAGAAACGCGCCGCAAAGTGCGCGTTTTCTGTTACGTCCCCCCTGACCCACCTCGCCCCACTGACTTTCGCCCTTTTTGCTACCCCGCTTTCTTACACTGCTTGCCATCCATACCCATATCCATGACCATGTCGTTGTCCGTTCTCCGTTGTTCAACAAGTCAACGCTTTAAATGCTGCACGCTGTTCCGGTCAAATGCTTCAATGCCAAAGGGCATAACCATAACAACGCCGCCAACACTCAGCGGCTCAGTTGTTTGGATCGCACCCCGCCGAACCATCCCCCTACCTACACAAAAAGAGCAAAGCGTTTGCTCTCGCCGCATTTAGAAATCAACTACAATGCAATGCATTGCGTATATCCTGGCTCTGGTCCTACACGTGTTTCATAATAACTCAGCTAAACAATTGTTAATAGATTGTAAGTATTCCAATTCTTGAAAATTAAGAGCTCAGAATTAGCTGATTGCAATAATTATCGATTAAATTGTTGATGATCGATTTATAGAAATTTTATTTAATTTTTTATTAGTTTGCACGAAAGTTTTTTTTAAATATCAGTAAAAATATACGAAAAGTTTCATAAATTTAAAATTTTAATTAACTAATATATATTTTATGCATGCTTGTAAATAAATAAGTTGAACAAATCGATGTAATTCGCTGGATATAACACATAAAATAAAATATATAGACTTTCTTAGTAGCCTAAACGCAATTAATGTCTATCATATAACGATGAGCAATCGATCAAATTGATGATCGATCAACACACATTAATATGCTAAATAAATCGATTAAATGAATGACTACATAATCGATAAATGCAAACAAAATATATAAACTGTTATCGTGTAAAACAATAGCATCCAAGACGAAATCGATTAATCAGAAAACTTGCATAACATTCATATTTATATATAATTATCGATTAATATATATGAATCATGGTGATATAAGAATCATATACGTTATCGATTAAACAACAACAATTACCGGGTCATAGTATAACCAAGCCGGATGGCAAATGCTGATAATGTCACGTGCATTAATAGTTGATATCGATTTTAGATAAGAAAAAAAAAAAAATATGACGAAGTGTCTATTATTACGATTGAGAGGAAAGCAATTCTAATAAGTTGAGATTGAGCACATAAAATTGACAGACATAAACAACATCAAACATAAATACTACGTGATGTCAAACCAGTTAACCAATTACTGTCAGCTCAATAGTAAATCTACAAAAAATATAACGAGTAAATGTAAATGTATTGGCATAGGCATTTGATATGTCGCAGTTGAAATCGATAATTCGATATGCAGATATGCAATATTATAGCTATTTATAGTACAGCAATATTATAACTATTTATAAAGTGGAAATAGACAACTGTAGAATTAAATTTACACAACTCTAAACTAAGTTAATGTTATTGATAGAGTTTTAGACAATGCAGGCAATGTAGACAATAGTTAATCCTAAATATATAAAAACTAGAAAATAAAAAATATATATGCAAATTTTTTAAGCATGGTTCATCAAATTAATTTAAATTTATTTTTTTTTTTATAGCTTTTCAATATTTCCAGTTTAAATAAACTATATTTATAAAATGTTTGCAACCTACATAGCAGATACTAATTTTACGAGAGGCCGATGCGTATTAATAAAACCGTCAAAAATAAATTAATTTTTATGAGTAATTCAGTTCTTACTTTCTTCAAATCAGAAAGTTTTTTTTTTTTTTTTTTTTTTTTGTTTGATTCTAGATAATTTTTTAATTTATTGGCATACCAATAGTGGCAATTTAAACAGGAGTGCTATCCGATAGCATTACTTATAGTACTTCCGAATATGCTATAGGTTCTAATGTGTGGCACAGCAAGAAGTAGCTGTGTAAAATTTTAGGGGGATTATTTTAAGATAGCTGCTAAAATTATTGTCTACAAATATTTAATTTATTTTGTTGAAAAGATTAGATTGGTCAGATTTATTCATTAATTTATTTATTCACTTTACTATTAATGAGATATTTTGTAATTTTGTAATTAGGTATAATTTCTTTTTTTATTTATTTTATTCTGCACACAGATCAAGATATATATATATATATATATATGTATGTATGTAATATGAATTATTAATTGCTCACAATATTTCCTTCCTTTACAGTACTTTATTGACACAATGGACGCCACTCAACTCACCGAGCTGATGGGCAGTCACGATTTCATGCAGTTGCAGCAGCAGTTGCAGCACAACAACAACAACTACAACACCGATGGCCACAATGGTCTCTCGCCGGAGTCTGTGGAGCGCAGCTCCAGACCTGTACGACGCGCCACACGACGCACCTCACAGGTAAGTAAAAATAAAACATATGAAATGGAGAAAGATAAACGAAATCAAATACAAGGGCTAAATGGATTGCAAATTGTTGCTATTGCAACTGTTCCACAGCTAAGCAATAACACCTACGATCTGGAGATGACCGATTCCAGTTCGCAGAGCGACGACACGAGCGGCGGCGGTGGCAGCAGCAACGGCGGCGGCAGCAGCACCAACAACAACAGCAGCAATCAGCTGGGCCCCGCGCTGGGCGGACAGCGTCCCTCGAGTCGCGGACGGCAGCAGAATGGCGGCAATCTAACGGCCAATGGCAGCAGCAACAACAACAACAACACTCGTCGCCGCAAAGGCGCTTTAAATGCCAAAGAGCGAAATCTACGCCGACTCGAGTCGAACGAACGGGAACGCATGCGCATGCACAGCCTGAACGATGCATTTCAATCGTTGCGCGAGGTCATTCCGCACGTGGAAATGGAGCGACGTCTGTCCAAAATCGAGACCCTGACGCTGGCCAAGAATTACATTATCAATCTGACGCACATTATACTCTCGAAGCGCAATGAGGAAGCCGCCGCCATGGAGCTGAATGCCGGCGCTGTTGGCGGCGTGCTGCTGACGAATTTGACAGCCGACAGCAATGTGGTCGCTGCTGCCACTGGCGCCAGCAATGGCTTGTGCTTTGACGATGCTCTGACTACTGCCGCAGGCGCAGGCGGTGGCGGCGGTGCCTACGACTGTGCGCTACTCGCTGCCAGCGATGGCAGTCTGCTGAGTGCAGCAACGAGCGCCAATGCCATGCAACCTCTGCCCATGCACATGCACGCCGACCAGCATCAGCAGCAGCAACAGCAGCAGCAACAACAGCAACAGCAACAACAGCAGCAACAGCAACAGCAGCAACAGCATTTGCCACACCATCATCATGCCCAACAGCCGCAAATGTTGCACTCACATGCGCATCTAGGCAACAACATGTTGCTGCCACAACAGCAGCAGCAACAGCAACAGCCGCCGCAGCAACCTACGCTCATACTCAATGGTGGCACCACTTTAAATGTGGGTGGCGTTGCTGTCGCTGTCGCTGTGGGTGGCTCCGGCAATGTGGGCGTGTCTGGGGGCGTGGGCGTGTTTCCCGATGTCAATGATAATTTCGATGAGCCCTTTCGGGAGTTTCTCTAAACAACCGGGAATGGGGCTAATTATGTAGGTCTGTGGTAAAATGGATATAAGTTCACAAAATAGAATTTATAGCATATATTATATCCAAAATTAAACAATGGGATTATATAAATAATTAATTGAAAATAATTATGTAAAATATTAATTATGTCAAAAAAAAAAAAAAAAAAACGTTTAAGCAACAAGCCAGAGTAAATAGTATACAAAAACAGCATGACTTCAAAGGGAGCAACAGCTTTAAGTCAAGTCAAAGAGCGGGTTATTGAATCTTAACTAGCGGTCAAGTTCAAGTAAAAACTGCTCAAAATGCTGTTAAACATAGCAACACTAAATTCTTGGTTTGAATACAACTGTAAAAGTTAGCATGCGTTTTAACATGATGTTAATTTGAGTATTTCCAGAAGATTTTTGGACTTGTTCAAAAAACCTCAATAATAGGTGTTTTGTTTTATTAAGTTGCAAAAATAAAAACTTTGTAAAATTAAAAAAAAAAAAAAAAAAATTATAATAATAATAGTAATGCCAATAACAAAGCCGACCGTTGTGGTGCAAATTTCAAATACATACGCAATTATTCAAAGTTGTTAATATACAATAATATATTATAATATATTATATATACCTATATATATGTAATACTTTAAGCTTAAATGTAATAAATATTATTTAGAAATGTAGCTCAGATTAAAAACGCAACAGAAACGGACGAATGCAACACGAAAAATAAATGAAACAAACAAAGTTGATTAGCATAGCAAAACTGAAACGTGTGAATGAAACAGGAAATACGTAGCTCATATATTTCTATATATGTATATATACCAATATCTATATATTTACGCATTAACAATTGGCAGCAATAGCAACAACAAAGGCGCAGCATCAATTAACGCTAAATGACTGTAGGTTGGGGACGTGTTAAGTAGATGTAGAATGATGCCACAATGGCGACCCAATGCGACGCCAGGAATGGAACAGCTAGAGCGACGCGTCGCTTAGTTAATTTACCACCCATGATCCTTTTAATGCACTTGAAATTTAGTGTTGTTGGAATAGCCAACATTGGCGGGGGTGGCAATGCGGCAGGAGCAGCAGCAGGAGCAGAGCAGGGGGCTGGGCACAGCAATTAACACACTAAAACCGTTGATAGCGGACCCATTGAAATTGGCACACTTCCGTTGGTGCGTCGCGTCGCAGGTTAGAAAGAGACGGCGCATAGATGACGTGCGTACGGTAAACACTAATGAAAATAACGGTGCCCAATGGGTGGTGTGTGTATGTGGGACTTAGCAATAATTAAGTGAAAAATAGTATTTAGGGTGGATGTCAACTTAAGCTTGTTGATTATGTTTGATTAGTCAAGATTTAGTCAAGTTAAATGGGATTTGGAGAGAGCTGCTCAAATGCTCAACTTTAGTTGGTTTTTCGACTTCGAATTCCATGTAGTTGTAAGTCTAATACGAAACGATATCGATATTTATTTGTAGACAAGCGGACAAACAGGGCTGTATTTCGAAAAACAAACAAAAACAACGGAAATTGAACGAGTTCTTCTAGTCAAAATCAGTAAAACAAACTTTAACAAACCCAGTATACCCTGATTTCCTATTTTCAATGGGTTCAAGGTATAAAAAAAATGCAATATAGGCGAGTAGTTTAGTTGTGTAGTGAATTATTAAGCTATGTCTATTATAAATCAAATAAAATACAATTTATAAAATAAAGAAATATTGTGAAAGAATACTTGAAATACTTCTGTTAGTTTCAATTTATATGTATTGTAATGTTAAGGATTTGGTCTAAATGAGCATTTGGTGTGTACAAGAAAATATTAGGACGTACTTGCACGTACATAAATATGTACATATATGTATGTACCTACATACATATACATATATACACACAATTCTATATAAATCTGTAATTGGTATATATGTATGTGCATATATTCCAGTTAAATTTATGTATCAACACTGTATAGAGCATTAATGATATCTAACTGAGCCTAAATAATTCAAGTTTATTTAATAAAGTCATGAAATAATTGCATGTATTTCAAATATTTGAAAACAAAAGTCGCATTATTCATTAAAAAATTAGTAGTATTCTTCAATTGTGATCAACGGTTTCCATAAGGTAAGTTTCATAAAATTAAATTTGGCATATGTACCTGTGGATGACGCAAAAATTGATCTAGTTTACAGTTTACTGCTCTTCTCTTCAGCTTCAGCTTCATTTTCGTTTTTGTTTTGATCTTTCGATTGCAGGCAACAAATTGCATCATTTTTTAACAGCGTTTTAACATTATCTTACAAAAGCACGCGCCCTATAATATCAGCGAGCTGATCAACAATGAAACCGTACTTAATTAAACGTAATAAATAAATGAATTTATAAAATATAAATCTAATAAAAAAATATTTGGCCTGCGCTTTGGCCGCGAGCACAACGAAACTATCGACACATTTGAAAATATCGTGAGCAGCAGCGCTGCCAGACAGTTGAAAATACGTACAATGCAATATCAGTGTGAAAGCTAAAAGTTTCAAGCTATCGACAGCCGCCACAATTTGAATTTTTTAATAATAACGGATGTAAATGTATTATTGGAATGCGCTATATATTTGTTATTTAAATATTATATTACAAATTTTGCTATATATTATATTTATAAAGTTAATTGACTTCATTGCACAGCCATAAACAACAATTTGGTTGAGTCTATCGAGTATGTGATAAACGCGCCCGCTCTCTTTCTCTCTCTCTCTCTGGCATTAAAACCGCTCTCTGTGATGTGCTCTTTGCAGCTGACACCGAGTAACGGACCTGCGCAATGCGCTCCACAGCAATAACCAAAACAAGATTTTGAGTTTGCCTTTGCATTATGTTTTTGCGCCTTGCGACTATAACAACGCGAGATAACCTGTCGGGTAAAGGAAACAAATCAACATATATAAAAGCGCTTTTTTGAAAAGTAGACAAACTACAGAATTGTGATTAGTTAATTGCAAGCCAAAGTGAGTATACAAATTTAAAAGTAATTTTCTGTGACGAACTAAGAATAGTAGATAAGCGTATGTGCCAGTGTTTATGTGTGTGTGTGTAGAAATTAGGTAAAGCGCCAGAGGTAGCTAGCTGGTGGAGTGCAGTTATTTCTATTTTTCAGGTTCACTGCCTGCTTCCGTTCTACTTAGCTGGTCTTTTGTTTGCTGCTCTTCTTTTATGCTTTTTCTCAAGACGCTGCCAGATTCATTTGAGTCTGTACACACACACGCGCACACATGTATACGTATATATGCATTTATGTATGTTCCTGTGGGAAACTAGTTATATTAAGAGGAACACAGGTACACAACATAATAAAAATAAAAACAAAAGCAACCAATAGTTGCATTTGATGCTGATCAAAAATTCCTCTACACGCATACCGATGTCTGCATTTCAAGGTGTATATATAGGCGTGTGTGTGTTTGTATGTATGTATGCGTTTGGATTTGCCGCTTGAGTTCGTTACAGTTTGTTAACCTCTGTCGGCAGTCGTTGCAATTGGCATTTGGTCACACTCCGCTCCAATTCGCTTGTTGTTGTTGTTACCATTGCAGTTTTACAGTTGTTAACACTTTCCTCTATTACGTTTTAATTTTGAAATCTAATCAAAAGCTCCCACGCATACATACACACACATACACACGCACACACTCATTCACACACACACGCACGCACAGTGGTCAGCTTGTCTGCTCCTGTTTAATACCCGTTAGCCATGTCTATAGGTAAATTTCCGGAATTAGCTGATGGCACGCAACCCACCTGTGTGTATTTGTTGTTTTTGTTGACATGCACGCATACGTATATATATGTCTACATATATACATACTATTCTTTTTTGTACATTTGCTTCAACATCGCAGCCCACTGACCCCAACAAAGTATCCCATTTTATTATAAACTCGACAACAACAATTATTCTACAGTGTGTCAAGATCTTATTAAATATTATTATTTAACTTAATTTTTATTTTTGGTTTGGGATTGTAATTTGTCTCTTTATATATACATATATTGACATACGTGTGTACATATAAAATATCTTTGACTAAACGTAATACCTAAAGAGACAAATTGTAATACCAAACCAGAAATAGAAAAAAATGAACTTTTGTAATCAAATTTAATAGAACTTGGGAATTCATACTTCTTAGAGTTTGCTTAAAAACATTGCAATTTTAATATTACTTCATGTTAGGAATAAATGCAACGCAAATTGACATATACAAAAATATACTTTCCTTTAATTTATCTAGATCATTGAACTGTTTGTACGATCAAGCTATGAGCTCTTAATAGCTCATGTTGTTTCAAACCAAATTCACTCTATTGATATGATGATATGATAAATGAAAATGATTAATTTATTTTTAGAATTCCTTAAACACTTTTAATTAGTTTCGTATATTCTTGGAATATAAATATATATATTTTTTTATTTCGGTATTTTTGTTATATTCTTGTAAAATATTTTATTATATACATATACATAAAATTGAAATAAAAAGAAAATTTTGAATAGATATGGAGAAAAGGAATATATTATTTTAATAAAAAATAAATCTTGATATATATTATATAAAATCATTTGTTTTGAATAATCTTACATATGAAAATTCAAATCTCTAATGGTAAAACTCATTTACAAAGTCATATCCCGAAAATGAGAACATATAATAATTATATATGTAACTCATGTTTGTTACACTCAAACCACTGTGCAATTCCAACACGTCCACAAATTATTGACAGGGTATTTTTTTCCTACGACGCCTTCTATTGTCCTGTTTACCTGCGTCAGTAGCAGCAGCAGGTAGATTGCCGAACAGCTGAACCTTTTCACTTCGTGCTCTGTTCTCTTCATAGAAACTAATTCAATCAATCCCCCAAATGTTCAGCTTTATTAACCACTTCACTTCCACCCGCCGCTGACACAATTTCTGGGCGATCGATTTTGAGACGATATATATATATATATATATATATATATATATATATATGTTTCCCTTCTATATGTTTGGTTTATTCATGCTTCGCAGTGGGAAATTATGCCTATTGCGTTGTCCGACTAATTGGAATTGCGACCTATTCTAATTGGAGAGTTCAAATAGGCGGACGGACAGACGCACGTATATGGCTTGCTTAGACATAATTTACTAGAAATAAAATATTTTATGGATTTGATGGTGAGCGTAGTTCTATTAACTATCAAGAAAAGGTTAGAGGGCAGAAGTGAACGTTTTTATATATTGTGTTAAGGTATAAATGAACATTGACGTAGGAATTTGAAAAGAGATTGAAATCGGGTATATAATTAAATATCAAATTTAGAACATAAAAAAAAAAAGTTTACTAAATAGATAATTTCTAAAATTGCACAAATTTCTAAAAAGAGGTTTATATATTTATTTTTTTATTAACATGCATTCTAAAAATTAAAAAACAATAAAATTAATAATAAAATTAATGCTTGTTGAAAAATTTTTAAAGTAACATATATAACTTATTTTAAAATTGCATTTTTTACAAAATAGCCATATGTAATACTATAAAAATAAGTCCTTGTTACTATTAAAAAAAAAAAATATATATATATATAAATATATAAAAATAAAAATATATATGTATATTTATGTATCCTGATATACATATGAATGCAGTATATTTTTCTACATATACATATATATCTATATATACACATATATATAAATATAATTTAAGAAATATTTTGCACTTACATATATACTTCGAGAATTCTTAAGATAAATCAATTCTATATATAGATTTGTATGAATATTAATGAAAAAATATGAAAGATTGTGAAGATGAAGCTAAATACAAGATTGTTAAGCTTTAGTTCTTTAAAAAAAAACCCAGTCTTTAGCTATTAAGGAACTGATATTATAAATAGGACGCTTGAACTGTTAAGAATTTAAAATCTCTGAAATTTATGCGTTAAAGATGAAAATGTGCAGAGGCACTGATTAATATGAATATCTCATGAGCTTGTTGACGCCTACTTTCGTGCAAAACATATAAATGTCAGCAATAACCCATTAACCTTTTTACCCATTTAAAATAGATTAAAAAAAAAATAATAATTTGCTGGAAATTACTTTTAGTACGTCCTCTATTCCCTAATAATCGACATACAGCTGCACAGATCTCCACGCTCTCTTGTTGGGTTTTTTGCACGCATTTTGCATTGATTTTTATGCGAGTTGCATGCAGCGAAATGTTGAGAGCCCATCACGTCCTTGCCACCAAAACAATGCATTCAGCGAGGCAGAGCAACAATTCGATATAATAGCAAATAAGATTGCGACAAGAACTAGGCCAGAGCATTGTGAAAAAGTGGCTAAATGCAGGCGAACTCATTTCTATACGGACTTGGCCACATTCGTTGAGGGTTGTTGTAGGGTTAATCCGCAGCCAGACGACGCTAGGCACAGGTGTGGCACACGTTGGTGGCAGGTGGCAGGTGGCAGGTGGCAAGTGGCAAATAGAGACACTTGGACATCGTTATGGCTGGTCATGGGGGAGGCGCTTTGCGTGTCTGTCACTGATTTGGGGGTTGGCTCCAATAACTTTCCCCTTCGTTTTGTGCAGTTGACCATACACACACATATTGATTTTTATTCTATTTTTTAGCCCCCACCATTTTTTGCCTGTTTTGATTAATATTTTGCCCATTTCCTTGCAGTATCTAGACGGTGTCCGGTGTGAAAGGTTCTGACCAACAACAATAAAAAATCAAGAAAAAAAAATGGCATCCGGCGGCTTGACATGTGTCAAATATATAACTTTCTTTTGCAATCTGCTGTTTGCGGTAAGTTGGCAAAGAGTGTGGATAATAAATGAATAATAGACCATTATAAATCTCTATATATCTCTTCATATAGCTCACGGGTCTACTGATCCTGTTGGTGGGCGCAATGGTGCAGCTGAACTATGCTCATTATTCGAACTTTGTGAGTGATCATATTTGGACGGCGCCCATTATACTGATGGTTGTGGGCGCCGCTGTGGCATTTATCTGTTTCCTGGGCTGCTGTGGCGCATTGAAGGAGAACAGCTGCATGATACTCAGCTTCGCCATATTGGCAGTTATAATATTCCTTTTGGAAATTGGTCTGGGAATCGCTGGCTATATCAAGCACTCGGGCCTGCCGCAGCTAATGGAAACACAATTCAATACGACCATGAAGAACTATAAGGAACGCGATGACTATCGCGATGCCTGGACTTTGCTGCAAACCGAATTGGATTGCTGTGGCACAAATGGGCCCAACGACTGGGATCCCATCTTTCCCAACAAGACTTTGCCCCCGGCCTGCTGCAAGGTGATCAATCTCAGCGAGGCCAAGGAGTGCACCACCTTGCATGCCGTGCAGCAGGGCTGTCTGCAGAAGCTTTTACACATACTCGACTCAAAGACTTTGATACTGGCCGGCGTGGTGCTCGCTGTGGCAGGCATACAGGTGAGCGAGATATATGCAATATATATTATGATTAAATTACGCTAATTTCTCTCTTCTATTCTGTTATTTAGCTGCTCACCATACTATTTGCCTGCTGCTTGTATCGTTCGTTTCGCCGCAGTTACGATCACGTTTAGGCTGCGTAGCGAGGATCCCATCTATCGATTTTAAAAGCAGAAAGCAAGACATCCCCTTAGTGTAGTCTGTAGTTTTGTCACACGCATGCGATATAACTCGTTGCCGTCTCTCAAGAGAATATTATATAATAATTATAATACACAAACAATAAGAAAACCACAAATCACAACACATTCTCAATTCACAAATTCATAACTTTAATTTTTGTCAATCAATGTTAGCCCAGCATTCTAAGATTTAGTTTTTTACTATGCTTATACATATATATACACATATATTTGAAAACTTGTTAATGTTATTCCCAGCTCAGTTGCGCTGAGCTCTATATACATAAGATACTCCAACTTGTATATCTCATAAATATCTACCTATGTTTTATTGTTTTCTTATATTAGTTATTTTTACTTACTCCATTCCCATTCTCGCCATCGCAACATACCCATTAGGCATATCAATCCAACCACATAACTGTGTCATCTATTTACACTTTATACCGACTGTTTCGAAATTGATTTTACAAAGTGTCCTTGAAACAAAAGTTTTGATATGTAATGTACATTTAATTGTATTTTCAATTTTTGCAATGAATATGCGTGTGTCTGTGTGTGTATGACTTCTAACCCTAACCTAAAGAAAACCCACCCATTTGCTAATTGTTCTCTTTTATATATCCTGTAGACCTTGATGCAATTTATTATATACACATGAACAGAACACTGCATTTTACACACACACACGGCAATATTTTTAGCAATACACAAACATACTCAATATACATATATATGTATATTAATTTATATATACAATGAATATCTATGTGACTGTATCTGTATTCGTATTCATATTGTAAAGTAAGATATCGAAAAAAGACATTTGGGAGAATTTTACATATCTTGGCAAATCCTTGAAAAAAAGAAAGAATCTGAAGTAGAGTAAAGAAAACTGAAAGCGAATTTACAGTTTCAAATCGAGATAATTTAAATTAAATTACTCAAGCAGTGTGCTTATTGAAAGCAACTCTCAAACTGAAAACAAAAAATGCATATTACAATGTTAGATTCTGTAATCGGAAATGAAAAAAAAAAAAAAAAAAAAAAAAAAATCCAAGCAATTGTCTTAAATAGCACGACTTTTTAATTCTCAATATGCATTTCGAATATTTATTTTAAATGTAATGTGAGTTCAAATGATTGTGCAGCACTGAAAAACTTATGAATCAATAAACGAACAAATGATAAAAATAATAAATTCTATGTGTAAATTAATTTTATATTGCGAGTAAACTTTTGTTTCTATTGCCTGATTTGTCAGCCTAAGCTCAAGTATGTCAATTGCGGCTGCAGCTTAAGATTTGTTTATCAATGTATACACATATGGAATATGCATACTCTACAGACAGAGGTGACAGATCGTGTGATCTTAGAGAACAGTTACCAGTTATGACTGCAACTAATACATAAAATAGGTTGACTATCATAATGCTAAAAAGAAAATAGGCATTTTTCATAATTAAGTTATTGCATTATTAGCCAAGTCGATTAGAGAATGGAATATTTTCCCTGCGTATTATTTATTTACTTATTTAGTATTTTTTCACCTTTTTCTATTTTTGGTAAGTTTTACCAAATATTCATGCTTCCTTCTTTGTTTTTACCTTTCTAAATTTTATAGCTTGTTCATCAATATTAATTTAATTTTATTTTCAAAAAATAATTTATTTTTATGAAAAATGAATTAAATTTTCAGTATGGATAATAAATATTTTTCTCCCATAAGCAAAACATATATTTTAACATACTTTTTTTTTTTTAAATATATATATATTTTTATTTATACGTTCTTTATTTTATTTTATTTTTATTTTTCACATTTACATTTATAGCAAAGCCTAAAGCAATATTTATTGATTATGAAAACATTATTTGATTGCCATTATATCAATTGTAAAATATATAACTCTGTGCAAAACTGAAGAATATATTAAACATTTCTATATATATTATCTAGTACATTTTTATATCATTCGAAATTCACACCCTTTCTCTTATGTGTGTATCATAGCATTCCGTTTCCAATCAACCTCTTACAATATACACATATACATATCAGTATATGGTTGTCCCTAACGATTTCAGTTTGCTGTTTGTTCAATAATAATAAACAAACCTAACAAGCGCCGTCAACTACGCCAACAAATTCGTTAGACACATTGCAGCAAACAGTAGGAAACGAATTGCGTTTCTGAATATCAGTAATCAACTAAATATATAAATATACATATATATATATAGATGTATATATATTGTAAATGTTAATTTTTTAAATATATATATTATAAATAACAATGTCACAAGCCGTTGCCGCTGGCGCTGCAGCGCCTCGCAAGGAGGTAACCGGACTGCATCGCATGACCCAGCAAGGATTACGAGAACTGTGCAAAAAGGATAAACTATATCAGACGCCGCGTCTTAACGATGTGCTCTACTTGCACTATCAGGGTAAACGAGGGGATCAATAGGATACTAAGTAAAATTAACTTTCTATTTAATTGTGCATCATATTGTAGGTTATCAGTATATCGAGTGCCTGGATGAATATACGGAACTCAAGTGTCTGTGGCTTGAGTGCAATGCCATCTCGGAAATCGAGGGTCTGGAGAAACAGAGCAAACTGCGCTGTCTCTTTTTGCAGAACAATCTTATTAAACGCATCGAGAACTTGGGCTCATGCCCACTACTGGATACGCTGAATCTTAGCTCAAATCACATACGCTTAATTGAGAACATCGGCACAGATGTACTGCCCGTCTTGAATACCCTTAATATATCGTCCAACTATTTGAAGGACAGCGAGAGTCTCGCTCGTCTGGTGGACTGTAAGACCCTGGCCGTGCTAGACTTGTCCAATAATCGCATCGATGACATTTTGGTGGTTAAGATCTTCGAGAAGATGCCCTGTTTGAAGGTCTTAGTGCTACAAGGAAATCCTGTCGTATCCCGTTTACCACAATATCGCAAGACTTTGATACTAGCCTGTGTGAGTATGAATGATTTTTTTTTTTACATAACTTATGATATTTACATAATTTATATATTGCATACATGCCGCTAAAAAATAATTAAAAGAGAAAATTTTATTTAAATATGGTTTATATAAAAATTTTTGTTTGCTAAACTTATAAATATATTTTATTTAATTTGAACTCTCCCAACCCCAGAAAGAGCTAACCTACTTGGACAGTCGCCCTGTCTTTCCACGTGATCGTGCCTGTGCTGAGGCCTGGTAATACAAAAATATTATTAAATACAGCATTATTCCAAATGTGAACTAAAGAAATAACAATTTTTTATTCTTATAATGTAGGAAGCGCGAGGGTTACGAAGGTGAGCGAAAGGAAAATAGGCGCTGGAATCGCGCCGATCGTAAAAAAATGCGTGACAGTGTCAACTGTAAGTAGACAGATAATATCCGTAATATATATATATATAACCTTAAAATTCTCATCTTTTAGACACCATACAGTTGCGTAATCGCCATCGTCCAGCGGATCAGCAAGATGCATTAATTAGCTCAACCGATTCGGAAGCAGAAGCGGAAGCCGATAAAGGCGCCGAAAGGACACGTGTCAAAGCGGATCTAGAATACGGCTGTGTGGATGACATATGGAGTGAAGTGTCTGGCGATAATAAGGAGGAGAACGAAAGCACGGACAGTTCACGTATAGCCGATGGGGCTACTGGCAACGGCTCCCAGGATGAAGAGCTAGCCGAGCATCTTAGCAACCGACGAGCAAAGCCTTTAGACGGTCGTCCGAAGGTACTATACGAATCCCAATTTGCTGACAATGAGGAAGACGCTGAAAAGGAAACCAATAAGGGGCTGGCTGAGGAGGTTGAGAATACAAATGATAATGTGGTGGCTCAAAAGGAAGTCAATGAAACGGATATGAAAGCTGAGGAAAAACGTGGTGTGAAACGTTTGCTTATAGAGGAAGTTAAGTTAGAACCTCTTGATGTGGAGTGCAAGACAGCTGAAGTGGAGAAAGAACAGGCTGACAAAGTTGAAGAGGCAGACAAAGCTGACAAGGCAGACGAGGCTATCAAGGATGATAAGGCTAAAAAAGAGGGATCTACAGAAGAAAAGGAAATAAAGCCAGAAGTTAAAGAAGCACAAGATGAGCTGAAAAATGTATTAGATGAAGTTGAGCTTAAGGAAATACCATGTCTTGTAACTGATGAAGTAGAGCCAAAGCAAATACCTGCCCTTGTAGATGCTAAAGCAGAGGATACAGAGTCAAAGCAAATACCAGCTCTTATAGCTAATGAAGTAGAGCCAAAACAAATGACAACAGTCACAACTGAGCCAGAAAGCGGATCTGAGTTGGATCAAACTGCCAGAGCTGAACTAGATAAATCATGCCAGAAATTAAAAGCTATAGCTTTGAATGAAGGGGGAGAGCCAACGCCTGAGCAGATCAAACAGAATGCCATAGACAGAATGTATGAGTCCTATGGAGATGAGATATTTGTCGAGCAGCCCGAGTTCAACAAGGCAATGCTAGAGCCCGAAGAACCCAAAGAACGCCAAGAGCTTAAGGCTGTCAGCAAAGAGGCAACTGGAAATACCACAACAAACAACATAATAAAGACTAAAGAGCAATTGGAATATGAAGCGGAGTGCATAGAGGCCAACGAGATTGTGGAATATAATATGCAAGAGCTGAGCAGTCAAATGGATGAGGACCTGAAGGAGTTGAGTCAGCCTCTGGAGGAAATACGAGCTACACAGGACGAATTACAAAAGGACGGCAACAACAGTTCCGATGAGGAGAAGGAGCAGGATAAAAAGAAATGCATTGAGCTGACAACAGTGACGCATTCTCTGCGCATCATCGAGGAGTTCAGTGTGCGACGCGAGCGCATTTGCGCCCAAGAGGAGGAGCAACAAAAAGTTCAGATTGAGGAGCTACAAATGGAGAAGGAAAAGGAAGACGAATTGGATGAGGCGTTTGCCAAGGCTCTGGACTCTTGCACAGATGATGTGCCCATGCGAGTCTTTGGCGAGGGATGTGATCAGCCTAGCCACGAGTGGCATAAGGAAGAATGTATGCGTCAATTGACCATAACAGAAACTCGAACAGAGCAGCACGATGATGAGGAGATGTTCAAGGTGAAACCATTGAATGCAAATAGTTGCGCCGAACAAGCGGAATTAATTTGTGAGGAAATGAGTCAAAAGCTGGAGGCCGAAGAGAATTCGCTGCGGGAACTACTGCAGCAGTTAGAGGATGAGACAGATGTCCTGTACGACATCACGAGCGCCGTAGAAGACGAGGAGCTCGATAAGCTGCCGGAGCCACCAGTCGATGAGGTTTGCGCGGCGCTCATCCATGACCTAATCGACGAGCTGCAGTATCAGGAAATAATCAATGGACAGAATATTAAATGCTTTGATTTCGGAGTCATTGAATCGGATGAAGAATATAGCTACTCAGCGGATCCCCAGACTCAATCGATAGTGCCACCCGACCTGGAGGATCCAGCCGGTGGCAAATCGTTGCGCGAGTGTCTCGATGCCTTCGGCAATTTTCTCACTTCTGTCAAAGATCGCAAGAAGGAAAGAAAGTTGGATAGAAAGGAGACAAGTAGCTCGGAGAAGGTGAGTGCAGCCAAGGCGCTGCTGAAGTCAAAAATGAAGAATGCCTACATGGACGAAAGTCCCCGGGAGGTCGAGGCACAGCTGGCCAAGCAGGAGGAGAAGCGCAAACGTCGCGTTGCGGCCATGGCAGACCGTTGTTTCTCCAAGCGTGACAGTTACGAAGACACACTCGAAGTTGTGGACAATAAGCTGATGATTGTGAAGAAGGATACCGGCGAGATCCAAGATTTGCCGCCGCCGCCAGCTCTGATCAGTGATACGGAGAGTGAGTCGGACAATGACTCGTCCGATGGTAACGAACCCGATAACTACGATACGGCCGAAGAGCTTAACGAGAATAAATCAGAAAGCCAAGAGAATAGAAATTTACGCGCTAATTGGCCAAAAGCCGACCCAGCTGAATTGGAGCTAAGCCAGGCATCGTTATCCCTCCAGGATGGGGACAGTGTGGAGGATCAGTCAATCGATCAGTTCTATTCGCTAGAAGCGAGAGCCGCCTTCAATTCGCTAGACTCCGAGTTCCTAGACAAATTGGATCTACAGAAGGTAATCGGCGTGGATGGTGAAATAACTGTGGAAGGCATGCGTAGCTATGACGAATTGACAGCCGATGATGTAGTACAGAAAGCTGAACATCCTGGCGCACTGGTGAAACAAGATGAAATGCTCAAGGATCTAATCGAACGCCAGCATCTGCAGGAGGAACGCGAACGTCAGATGGAGGAGTTATCTAAGGATTTGGGGGCTCATAAATTGAAGTGTAAATCGATAACAGATCAACTTGAAAGCGAACTTAAAGAGGCGAAGGCTACGACGAATTTGCTACAAATGTTAAACAGCTTGGAGTGTCCCAAGGAGAAGGAGTTGGGTGAGAAGAAAGCGACAGGAAATTTCCTAAAAATGTTGAACTGGGGCAGTCCCAAAGAGAAGGAGTTAAAGGAGGATGCCATGGAGGAGCAACAGCAGCAGGGGGAACGAGATGAGGAGCTAGACAATGGCCAGGAGTATCCTACCATACAATTAACGCTGGGTGCTTGTAAATTATGCGAAATAAAGAGTCAAGTTGCGAATACAAAAGATGAGGAGGAAGAAGCAGCTGAGAAGGCTAAAGCAGCAGCAGCTGAGGAAAGTGAACTTAAGTTAGAGGAAATAATTGCGAACAGTGAGCAAGTAGATGAAAAAGCTGAGGAAAAATCAAGCAATGAAATGGGTGAAAAGTCGGAAGGGAAAGCCACCTCTAATATCAATGGCAACATAGATGATGACATTATATCGGATGCATCGACGGACTATGAATCAGGCGAGGATATAGCCGTTGTGGAGCCCCCGCGACTGCCCGAGGGTGCGCTCACTGAATTGTTTAGTAATCATTTCGACGAGGATGGCCTCAAGCTGGAGCGTGAAAATGAAGAAGCACTGCGTAAAAAACTATTCAGTTTGCCGCTAAGAGCTTGGGCCAGTCAGAATTCCATAGATAAAGTCGGAAATATAGCAAAGGAAAAAGAAGTTTCCGAATCAGCGGTGACAACTGATGAGGATGATGAAAGCTGTGAGGTGGATGCTGAAAGCTGTGAGGTGGAAGCGAATAAGGAGTCTAAAAAACCTGAAAACGAAGACGATGATGACACGGAATCGGGTGGCGCCATCGACGAGCTGGCGCGCAATGCCAAGCGTCAGTGGGCGAAAATCTCACAGAAATTGAGTGAGTTCATCGAGGCCGACGATCTGAAGCTATTGAATAAGAGTCAGTTCAATGAGGAGAACAGCGATGGCGACGATCAGGAAGATGAACTGGAGGAGAGTCTGAAAAAACTGAATATTATTTACGAAGAGTGCGAGGCACAGATGAAAAGCGCTAGACCCGAATATATGCAAGTCTGGCACGACGAGGAAGAAGAAGCTAATGCGCAAGAGATTGAACAGGCACGGGATGAAGAAGCTGAAGAGCCAGGAATCGATCTAGACAAGACTCTAGAAGCTAATGAGCTAGACGAAACTGAAATAGAAAATGAACAAGAAACTGAGCTAGAAAAGACTCAAGAAGCAAATGAGCAACAGCTTGAAGAAGAAGAAACTGAAGAGACTAAAAAGCAAGAACTCGAGCAAGGTGAGACTCTAGAAGCCAAGGAGCAAGAGCTTGACTTAAATGAAACTGGAGAAAGAGAAATGCAAGAGCTTGAGCAAGAAGCGAATGTTGATCATACCGAAGCCGAAGAGGATAAGCAGAGCACAAATCTAGAGCCTCAGCCAATAGACAATGACCAGCCGTTGCCGGAGAATTCATCAAAACCTCCCATAATACTTGATTACTTTGAAGATAATACCGATACCGATAGCTTCCATACAATACCCGAACTGAAGACCGAAGAAATTGAATGTAATCTGGAAATACTCAACGATGATGGTGATGCTATAGTCAAGGAGGTGAGCGTCAATGCCCAGGTCACCTATGAGTTGAAAAAGTAATTGAAATTCATGTTGATTTTAACTAAATAAATGAATAAAATTGTATTATACAATTCAGTGTATGTTGTCCGACTAGGCACGTGTAGGAAACATTGCGAACCCGAACCCAATGATAACATTTCCCAAGGGAGAGCTGTCCACACGAAACAAAATCCAAAAACTAGTTTGAACCACCTTAAATAGCAATAGGCAAATGAAAAGTACAAACCATGTACATGATTTATAAATATATATTAAAAGTGCGAAAGATTAGAGAACAATATTTTACTATTTACTTTTTTTACTGCCCGATCGATTAATTATCAAAATTGGCACATCCTGAGCCACTTGAAACCGGTTTGCCCAGAGCGCTGAAACCGGTTTTTTTGCTTTGTTTAGCTGACTTCGGCGAGGGCACTCGAGCAGGTTATCATCGACGTCGCGCCTTATCAATTCGAAAATAATGTATGGAAAAAAAATAAGAATGTTGCACTATTCCCATAGACGTCCAAACATCAGCACCGAGCAGCTAGAGAGTGCGTGCACAGTTTATTGGACTCGGCAGAATTCCACATGGATTGATGCTTATTGCATAATACAATTGAAATTCATTTGCATATAGTATAATAACATCGAAATTCACTCAGCTGACAACATCTATCAGTGAGGAACTCTCGAGGGAGTCATATACATATATAGCTGTACTTAATTTCATTTTTCGGAAAACAAATTTCGTTTATTTAAAGAAATTCTTTCGAGATTATAGTCGTCACAATAAAAAATATATTGAATCCAGTTTGAACCAGTTCTATTTCATGAATTTTGATAATCATTTTATTTCAGACATTTTACAATCTAATCTATATCACGCTCGGCAAGTGGTTTCAGGCAAAATAGCTGAATAACTGGGCGAGGGGGCCAAAGTAGGTCAGTGGTTTATCGGTCAAGTAAAAACTTTTCCCTTACTATTCTGTTGGTTTCGACGGAATTCCCTCTGATACAAATTCATTGACAAATCGCTGTGGCTAAAGTTTGTTGTCAATTGGAGGAAAAGGAAGTCATTCTAAAATTTAATTAAAATTTAGAAGGAAGGAGCTCTTAATATAGTAATACATAATTCACCTGTGAGTATTATATCATAGTTGGGAGAAGCTAAGTATGTGCTATTTAGAAGGAGTGTTAGATGATACAATGAGATATGCAGACACGACTTTAAGCACACTTTTATTGTATAAGGTGGATAAGATGAGGATTTCCCTGCCGGAAGCTAAGAAGCGCACAATGTAGCAAATGTCCTGGGATAATGATTATTAAACGAAATCGAATCAGATATATAAATAACATCAAGCTCATCATATATTTACTAGGTTACGCCAAGATACAAGATACATCTAATATAATAAAATACTAATAAGACATAAATTCAACACATATAAAATATAAATTCATAATTAAATTCAAATACGAAAATTTGTAATTGGCATTTGAAATCAATCGCCACGCCTATTTCTAAGCATATAATGAGCCAAATTGCATAAGCACTATCAGATAGGTAACCATGGCCGTGAAGATCTGCAGAAATATGTTAATTGAGAATAAATATTCTTGCTACAACTAGAACACACAACACCCACCGACATGAGCAGATTATAGTCGATATCCATAAAGCCCTCGGCGCGGATAGTCAAGGCATCCTGCTCCACCTGCATAGCGAATTCAGCAAGAACCGCAGTGTAGGCCAAGGGAGGCGGCACCGCCTGACACTGGGCAGCACAGGCCAGACCCCTAACATGACCGCCTATAAGCATGTGCTATATAGAAACATATATAGATAAAGATATAGATATAGATATAGATATAGATATAGATATAGATATAGATATAGATATAGATATAGATATAGATATAGATATAGATATAGATATAGATATAGATATAGATATAGATATAGATATAGATATAGATATAGATATAGATATAGATATAGATATAGATATAGATATAGATATAGATATAGATATAGATATAGATATAGATATAGATATAGATATAGATATAGATATAGATTCACCTGTCGCTTGCAATACTCTCCACAATGACAAAATGTGAAGAGTAGTATAAGCAATGGCACAAAAGTTGAGCAGGTCATGAAGATAAAGCCAAACTGATAGATCTTGATAAGCACTAGAAGTGACCAATATATATTGACGATGCTGTCGAGAAACATCACCACGAAGATGCAGACAATCGACCAGCCAAACAAACTGTTGTAGAGTTCAAATAGACGATAGAGCTCCATGTAGGCGCGCTTCAGACTCAGCAGATAGTCCAAGGAGCACATCTGATTAAATTGTATGTCCAATATTGTCTGGGTACCCAGCTGACGATAGCTGTGCAGAGCCTGCAGACGTTCATCCAAACGCTCTGCATGATAGCCCAAGAGGTCCACGTAGAGTAACAGAAGGAGACATTGATATCGATTAACGATGACGGCGCCGAGCGAGTACCAAAAGTAGCCGGTATAATCAGAATTGAGAACCACGTATATAGAAGGAATAAATACGATGATATTGATGACACCCAGAGCATAGAATTTGATATATCTGATCCAGGGCCAATTTCTGATCGGCTGCTGCAGTTCGCATTGAAAATGCAGACGCAAACACTTCAGCTGCAGACAGAACTCGTAGTATTTATTATACTGGCACATCACTTGCAGCTCAATAACTAAACAGAAATATATATATTATATATACTATAGAAAGAGAGAGAGAGAGGGACAGTGAGAGAATTCAGATACACGCCTGTCATGGTACCAATTTGGGAGACAAACACAATGCAGCTGACCAGCAGTGAGACCAGAAGATCTCCCTCGGGCGGTTGAAAAATGATTTTGTAGCATGACACACCGATATTCGAGAGTATTATGATTAGTGTATAGATCTGTTGGTAATGCTGTTTGGGCGAGTTTTCGGTCACCCACGGTACCAGGCCCAAGACAGCAAAATACTTGATATAGCGTTGCAGAGCGAATAACATGTTCTCTTGAGAATGTGTCAATGCATACTACAGAGTTTGGCTAAAAATATTGACTCGAGCTATATTCGTAGATTAATCAAATTTGATATGTTCGCTAATGAAATGCAAAAATAATTAGCTAAAATAGAAAAAGCGGTACGCGCGAACAAAACAAATCAATTAACAAAGATAGTGTTTGGTAGAACTTTAAACTCTAATTTCGTGAATGGTCAATGTAAATTTGCTATAGGTATGGGTTGAGTTTATATTGAGTGTTATTTAAGTATTTATTTTAAATATAAAGTACTCACCAAATATCACTTGTTCCGCATTAGTCTTTGCTATAAAGAGAAAGAAAAATATAAATAATAATATGAAAAGTGATAATCAATAATAATAATAATAATACTAATAATAATTAAGCTAATAATAATGCAAAAAGCAATGAAAACAATAATAACAGAAAAGATAAATATGATAGAAAACGATTATCTTGGTAAAGATATAGTATATATATATAGTCTTTGGTAGTAAAATTGATGGAAATAATAACGAAAACGATAATATTTTATTAGTAATATAAAAATGAATTATGATAAATAAATAAATTATAAATAACCCAAATTAAGCGAATTTTTTGTTCAAATAAGAAATTAAAACAAACAAAACAAAATATTTAAACAAATATTATTCTATTTATTTCTGATATAAAAATTAACAAGCATAAAAAATAATAATTTAATATAACTATGACAAAAAATAAAAAATAAATAAATTAAAAAAATATATTTATAAATTTAAACGTGTAAAAATAAATGCGCTCTGGCCAAAAGAAGGTACCCTGAGTCACTATAATCTCGCCCATGAAGAAAATGTATATTGATACGTAATGAAATATAATAGTTTATAAATTAATTAACAAGTCTTGTTAATTAGAGATTAGGTTTGGCATCAAATATAAAATGTGTGTCAAATAATTAGCAGCTTCGTCTGACTATGCCTTGTTCTATTATTGCCCATCGACAGCATTTTACACCAAAGATGATGATTTAACAAAATCTACAGTAAATCTTTATACAATATTAATCTATATATTAACGCCATTTAGAGACGTTGCTTGATTATGTGATTATAAACGATCGCCCTTTACAAATAATTCATTTCACACCAATTGCGGAAAGTATTTACAGTTTGCTGCCCCAATAACTAGTTCAAGCCGGAAATTATTTACAGAATGTGATATATTTGTGACTTTCAGTTTGTCAATCTAGAGTTCAAATATTTCTAGGTAATACGCGGAATTCAATACAAAACACATACCGCGACAAACAAAACTAAAAATCTGCTCTGAGGGGTTGGTTACCAAACTTTCCACTTGTCGCCTCCACATCCGAATTTAGCCTTATCATTGTGCTTGTCCAAAATTACTTTAAATAACGTCGCTGATAAGCGAGTTGTCCAACGAACTGTTTTTTTTTTTTTTTTTCATTCAAATATTGAAAAAGTAAAAGTGTGTGAGTCCGATTGCAGCCTATGCTGATATATATATTTATTTATTATATTTTTTGTTATTGCTAGAAACAGCTGATAATATTTGGCCCTGGCTCTAGGTATAAATACGAGCCGCACACTTGATGCGATTCAGTTAAGACAGGTTGTTCAAGCGCTTAACAACCGGCTTTTCTAAATAATAATAGTAAAAAACTATAATTCTATAGATCAACAAGTGAAACCGAAGTGGAAAAAGTGTTTCCAACGTGATAGGAAAATCAAAAGAAATTATTAATAAATCGATCTGTCTTGAAAGCGTGTGAAGAGAGCAAATCATATAAATCGCACAATCATGAGTGTTAGTATAAAAATTTATATGCCTGAAATTATATATAAATAGTTTAGAAATTTCTCTATGTAATATTTAGTAGCTCGTTTCCTTTAGTTAGGATTTAAAAATAATTGTGTGTTTTCGGCCTAATTTTTACTAAAAGCTTAGAGGTTTTTTGTTTGTGGAATTGTGTTATAAAGTCAATGTTTTTTATTCATTAACAAAAATAAATAAAATATTTAAATATATAGCAATAATTGAATTGTTTAAAAATTCAGTTATTTGTATATTTATTTGAAAAATATTTTTTTTTCTAAATAGATACTAGCAAAAAAAAAAAAAAAAAAAATAATAAAAATAAAAATATTTATAAAAGAGTAACATACAAAATTAAATTAATTAATTAAATATATAAGTTTTGCTATTCATACAATATTTATATGTATGTATGCACTCACTTAGTCCTAACAATATTTAATTATTTAAATCATATTTTTTATGACAAAATAGTTGTCAATTTCAAGTTTCTGCCTTCCCTATTTTCCCTTATGTAGTCAAGACAATCTGGTATATAATTTATGGCTCTATACATACATATCTATACATACATATCTGCTTATATGCATATTTTTAAATAAAATAGCTTGCACTTTATAAAGTCTATATAATTTTCTGACCTTCCTCTATACACAATCAGTTATAGGAGACAAATATTATTAGCTTTACAAAATCATTCATTAATCGATACGACACCGCCCTTGTAATTTGTATTCAGTCTCCATTTAGATATATTCAATTTTCCTTTAATTTTTTGGACTCAATAAATTTACTATGGATTTACTTTCAATCGAGTATCAGCAACAAATTAAAGTAAAATTGTTTAAGGCTCTTTCGTAGTTGTGCGCAACAATGAATAGAATATATTTTTTTAATATAAGACAAATTTGATGTGCATATGTATAAAATTTTAAATTTAATTATTTTTAGGGGTTTTTTTTATATGTATATATACATATATTGAATGATTCAGCTCACCTCACTTTGGATAAATTTATAATGCGTGTTCCGTTTCGATATCATTACTTTTTACAGTCGAATCTGCGTATTGCGATTATTGGTCAAAGCAATTTCGCTGCCGATGTGTTGGAGTTGATATTGGAGCGTTCGAAGTTTCAGGTGGTGGGCGTCTTCACCATACCAGACAAGGGCAGTCGCGAAGATGTGCTGGCCACGACAGCTGCCAGTCACAATATACCCGTCTTCAAGTTTGCTAGCTGGCGGCGCAAGGGCGTGCCGCTGCCCGAGGTGCTGGAGCAATATAGATCGGTCAAGGCGGAGCTGAACGTGCTGCCCTTCTGCTCACAATTTATACCGATGGAGGTGATTGACGGCGCTCGCCTGGGCAGCATTTGCTATCATCCATCCATATTGCCCAGG